AAATGTGAGCGAAGGAGCCCAGTGCTAGAGCGCCCATTCGATGATTTCCAGAGTCACTGTGGCCTGGGGGTTTTACTCACTCCTTCCAGCACCCACAGAAAGACACAGAGATAGCTCAGCTCCCCTCGCTAAGTGTGGACTCGTTTCTCTTCCTTGAGAGGGAGAAGAGTTTAACAGAGTCTCGGCTGGACCCTGGATTGGCAGAGCTGTCTGATTTCCCACGATCCTTGTCATTCTCCTTCTCATCGTGAGCTGTTGGCACACTGGGTGCAGAACAGTGTTGTGGGGGTGAAGGTTAAAGAGGAGACCCTGTAAGGGCTGCTGTGGTGACTCGGGTGAACCTTGTGATGCCGCAGAAGAGCTCTCCTCTGCCACTTGGGGCATCTACTGTACTAAAGACTCTCATTGTTGGGTACAAGTGGACTCACGGTGTACAGTGAGAATGAATGGTGGAACAACAGTGACTCTGAGGACCCCACTTCTCAGCAGTGACAATCAACCTGAAGTGCTGAGCATGAAAGCCACTTCCCCATCCTGAGCCCCAGCTCCTTTTACTCCCCCGTCTCATTCCCTCCTCTCCATCATCAACATATATCAAGTCCTAAGGCTGACTCCCAACACAATTTCACATTCCCTCCCCAATACATCCAATACATCACTGCAATTACAGAAAACAGACAGAAACGTGATGAATGAAGAATAAAATACACTATGTCTTCTGTGTATTATCCCACCAGATGGGGAGGAGTGGGCAGCTGGAAAGAATGCGGAGCAGGTCTGCTATTGGAGAAGCCGGTGTGACAATCAGGCTCTGGTCTAGACCAAATGTGGGGATGGGTGTCCCACACACTTTAATGTTAGGGTGACTTACAGTGTCTTGGACGTTGCACACAGCTGTGGGGTAAACCAGCTATGCTAACAACCAGCTTGCAGGTGGCCAGTGGAGGCTCAGGACATTTAGATTCCAAACTGGTTGCCAGAGATCTGTGAGACTCACACGCCAAGGGTTGAACACCCTGGGAGGACGGAGAGAGACTCTGAGGCATGGCCCTCAGACTATCTTCCTTAGGGACGAGGCTGCTTTAGTAGCCAATTACATTTAATTTCCTGCAAAGAGCCAGGGGCTCATGCTTTTGGGACTAGCACCAACTGACAAATAGCTGCTTTTGCAGAATCCTATTTCATTTTTCCCTTGGCACTGTAGGCTAGAAATCCAACAGGGAGGGAGCACTGGAAACAGACTGGATTAGCAAAATGAGCCCAGTGCCTGGTAGGATCACTTCTCAGAATACAGAAAACAGCCCCAGTCACAGATCTCGTCTAAAGTAGGAAGAAACCAAAGTCTGGGGGAAATGGAAGGCTGTGGCAGCAATGTTGGATGAGAAGCTAAAGCCCAGTTACAGAGTCTTTACCCTGTGGTAGCCAGCCGCCAGCAGGGCCCCAATGATCCTTGCCTCAGAGTTTGTCCTCTCCCACCCTGACTGGGGATGACCTGTGTAACCAAAAGAATTTTGCAGAAATCATGGAGTTTGACTTTTAAGGCTAGGTCATACGAAAACACCATAGCTTCTGCCTTGTCCTCTCTTGGATCAGTTGTCTTACGGGAAGCCAGCTGCCATGTCACAAGGACACTCAAGCAGCACTGAGGAGGCATCCCTGTGGCAAGGACCTGAGTTCTCCTGCCAATAGCCAGCATCACCATGCCATTAACATGAAGGAGCCTAAAGCACATCCTCCAGCCCAGTCAAACCTTCAGATGATCACAGCCCCGGCCAGCATCTTGATTGCAACCTCATGAGAGACCCTGAGCCAGAACCACCCAGGTGAGCTGCTTTCAAATTCCTGACCCACACAAACCGTGTGAGATAGTATTTAGTGTCGTTTTACGTCACTAGCTTTTGGTGTAATGTATTATGCAGCAAATGCATCATTAATGCACCCTGCCAGGTGTACCATTAAGTCTATTAATGCAGGAAACTGACTTTGTCCCTGGTGGGAAGCCTTGTCAGCGTGTCTCAAATGGATGGCCTTCTTCTTTCAGAATATTGGTATCTCCTGAGATAAATGGGTATCCAGTGCAGTAACCTGCCTTTCTGCTTCTCTTCGTCCATACCTTCCTCAACCACTGTGCCAAGCAAACACAGACATGTACATATGCATATACACACATGCACACACACGACTTTCTTTTTAACCTGAAAAATCACCAAATCACTCAAGCGCCGAAAATATGAACTTTTTTCCAGGAAGAACCAGATGCTTTGGATGTTTTAAGTACTATTTCTCACTCCGTCTCTGAATGGACAGATGGCGGGGGCGGGGAGAACACAGCTGACTACTGAGAATTGATTGATGGGTCTGTTCTCCTTTGCTAGTCATATAATTCTGAGCTGAGTGAGCAAGAGCAGGGGAGGAAAGCCACAGCCACAAATCCGCGCATTCCCAAATTTGTTTAAATATTTCAGAATGGGATTTCTCCTTCTCTCTCATTTCCCCATCCCATTTACCACCACAGGTGAGGAGAGTCTTTGATGAGATAAAAGCACAGAGGCTTTGTGAACATAATAAATAGTCCATCCAAATTATGGTAGAGGCCATCAAGCTCTTGTAAGAGAAACATTTTTTCACTGTACAGAAATTCTGCTATGAAGAACCCGAAAGATGTGAGGATCTAAGCACCTGCAGGTCTTTTCCCTACAGGTTGGGGGCCAAGAAGAAGGCTTAGAGCTGGGAAAGCCTTGCAGCATTCTCCTTGGCTAGAGTGGGCCCTGAAGGCAGAGGCAAAAGGTAGAAAACAGGGGAATAGAGAAGAGCAGAGAAGCAGGGGCACCAGGGAGAAAACTCCCGATAGTCACCCAGAGTGGACCCGCATGGGCTGAAAGATGGCCAGGTGGGAAACTATTTCTCAGCCTCCTGTGTGCTTCTTTTTATTTCTGTCAGAGAACTCTACCTGTCTGTCCTTCCAAGTATGGAGTCATATCTGAAGGGTTACGTGGGAAATATTCTCATCACGAGGTGAGTAGGGTCATGGAGGTCCTTCCCTAGAAAGAGTCATGGCTGATCATGACCACAGTTTGGGGAGACAGTGTTCTCCCGGCGTGTCTGAGCAGAGTGGGTATCAGAGGCCCCATGTCACTGTCCCTGGCCCTGGATTCTCCAGGAACTGGTCCTGTGTGTCTGCTCATCTTCATCCCTGCATCTTCCCCTGCTGAGCTCTGCCACCAGCTCTGGTGAATCCCAGGTTTCCAGCCCTGGTCTCTTGCCTGTGATCCATTCCTGATTTCAGCTGTGCATAGACTTTCCTCCTCTTGGTTATCTGAGCCTCACCTTACACTCCACATGTCCAATTTAGAATTCCACAAAGACTCCTTTTCTCCATGATCTTATTTCTGGCAATAAAAGCCAGCTGGGAACTTGGAGTCGTCTCAGTTCTTCTTTCCTCAGGACCTAAATCCATCCTGCCAGTGGTCCTGAGGTCTTTCCCTTTAAACTCTACCTTTGTTATGCTCAATGATGGACTGTGCTCAGAGCCTCCACCCTTTGCAAACTCTCATCCTGACTGGCCTGGAATGTTCTCTTTTCTTTCTTTGCTCCCTTCATCCCCCTCATATTTCAAAGTTTGAAACAATTGGCCCCATTTCCTTAAGCCTCATCTGACCCCTCAAGACCACATTTGCCTCCTTTCTTGAACTTCTATTCCTCCTATTCAAAGAACATTGTTAATGAGGGCCTGCTGTGTGCAATGTGCCAAGTGCCAGTCGGGCAACAACAGTGAAGTTCCAGGCTTCAAGGAGATTACAGTCTAGGAATCATAACACCAATTAATAACTTCGTTTTTGCTTTCTTTTTAAAAAAATATGTTTTCATTGATTTTTAGAGAGATATGAAAAGAGAGAGAAACATCGATGAGAAAGAAACATCGACTCACTGCCTCCTGCATGGCCCCCACTGAGGATGGTGCCCACAACCCAGGCAAGTGCCCAGACTGGGAATCAAACCAATGACCTCTCGGGCATTGGGTCGACACTTAACTACTGAGCCACACCAGCTGGGCAATTTCCTCTTTCTTAACTGTGCTTCCCCAACCAAATTCTTAAATAGCCAGGACTGTGTCTTAAACAACTTTTTGTAAAATCCACAGTGACTGTTAGATTGCAGGGCACATGACATGTTCTTACTACTTGTTGGTTATATGCAAGACAGGTAATAGAATCAGATAAAAAAAATACATGTCAACTACAATCCTCATCTAGGTTACAGAAATATCTTTGGTATGAAGGAAAAAAACGCTTCAAAAAAATTAAAGAAACCAGGCTGTGTTTGAATGGTATTTTACATGTCTAATCAATAAATCAATTTAACTTGTCAAATTATTTTTAATATAATCATTGATAGTCCATTCCCCAAATACCATAATCTTGAAATAATAATCACATTATAAGATTAATGATTCAAAGCACATTAGTAATTCAAAGGTAGATATCTGGAATTTCCTAAGAGATTTTACAAGACAGAAATAGGAGCAAATTGAGAAGCACTGAACACAACTCTTAGGTAAAATCATTCTATTCTATTAAGGACAAGAGTATTGATAGGATCCCAACACACAAGAGAACCATGACATCCTCTCAGCAAGGGTCTCCTGGACCAGGGACAGAACTGGGCTCAGATAATACTGATATGTCCTTTTTAAATGCCCCAGTAAAAAGACTTTTGTGAATCAGAAGTAGAGAAATCTCATTTCTCCAAAATGTAAAACTCTTTTTGATATAAGAAAAAAATAGGAAGATATTTCACCCCCCCCAGCCTTAAATGAGCATAGTTTTGATTATTTATTCAGAGGACCTAGTATGTACCTCAGTTTAGACTACAAGGAATGCATGTCAGTCCAGCCTGGTAGAGATCTTCGTGTGCTAAACAGCTCAAGAACACAGAGTCATAAATTTGTCTCAGATACATGTTTACTGTGAAAGTAAATCTTTAAGAAAATTCTTACTCACCTGCCAGAATATGCTATCTATTGTGTTTCCAAGAAAACCATCACGGCCTTCTGAAGACACCAGTTTTGGGCCAAGAATTGTCATGAATTCATCAAAATCCACCTGGCCATCCCCTGGAAGAAGAAGATATGAATATAAATGGAAAAGTAGTTGAAATTGACTTACTATGCCACATGAAATAAACATCTTCATATTTTCCTCCTTAGCATGACCTCAATAAATAACTAGTGGCATTACTGAAAGTTGTGCAACATTCTTCAAATACCAAAAGAAACACAAGAAATTATTGGTTATTATTAGTACATCCAATACCACATATCCCTAATTACTTGTCAGTATTTCTATCTAAATGCTCAACCAGCACCTCAAATTGCCCAACTATACATGATAAAAATTGCAGCTTCATTCATATCTCTTCCTTCATCTTTGTCACTCACAAATACATTTAGTCATCACGTTTTATTGAATTCACCTCTTAGATACCTGTGGCTGTTTTATTTTTCTTGTTAATCCAATTGCATATCCCTTTCCAAATGGTGGGAAAGTGATTCCAAGGATTAAAATTCCTAGTTATAATTATAATGTTATTAGAATTGCTTTCTGACCTCACACTCTCAACTCCTCACTTTCCTCCAAACAATTCCAAGTTTACTTCCCTTCAACGCATCTGATCATGCTTTATAAATCAATTCATCTCTGAAAATAAGGAAACCACCTCAGGGTAGCATTCAAGTCCCATTACCCCTTCTGTCACCTTTTTCTCCCCACCTCTGCAAAAAATGCCCTGCTCTTTCAGAGCTTCAGGCCTCCGTACATCTGGGATGCTTTCCCCCACCTGTTTACCTGATGAACACCATAAGTCAGTGGTTCTCAACCTTCCTAATGCCGCGACCCTTTAATACAGTTCCTCATGTTGTGGTGACCCCCAACCATAAAATTATTTTCGTTGCTACTTCATAACTGTAATTTTGCTACTGTTATGAATCGTAATGTAAATATCTGATATGCAGGATGTATTTTCATTGTTACAAATTGAAAATAATTAAAGCATAGTGATTAATTACAAAAACAATATGTAATTATATATGTGTTTTCCGATGGTCTTAGGCGACCCCTGTGAAAGGGTCCTTCGACCCCCAAAGGGGTCTCGACCCACAGGTTGGCGACCCACAGGTTGAGAACCGCTGCCATAAGTGCTCTAAGATGGAGCTTAAATATCATAATTTCTTTTCATTTTCTTCCTGACCCTTCCTCATCTCACTTGACAGAGTTGGCCCAACTTTCTTCCGTCTCTCCTACTAACTTAATGTGCATCCTTTACAGAACTCATCACCTGTATCTCAGTCACTGATTTGCATGCCTATCTCCCACCTGGACTGTGAGCCCTGCAAGGTCAGGGACCTACGCTGAAACTTCTTTGTACATTCAACACCATGGTGGGCCCTCAGGATGTGCTTGTGGAATGAACAGATCCTGTCTCTTGCTTGATTTTCCTTTGCTCAGTTCAGCATCCATTGGATCTTTCAAGCCTAAGCTGCTACTGACCAAAAGGTAAACTTGAGCCAAGGCAGACCAAAGCTGACCTTCAAGGTCTTGCCCAGGCCTCGATGACCCATCAGTGTGGAATCCCTAATGAGTCACTGAGGCTTGGACGATACCTTGAAAGTACTGTCCAAGAGAGTCTCCACCAAGAGCTCACCACATCTTGGCTCCCAACCATGAAGACGGTGTCTGCACACAAATTTGCCAAAGCGCAGACATTGATCCACCCCCAGAATGCAATTGCCTTTATATATTTTATTGATTTTTTACAGAGAGGAAGGGAGAGGGATAGAGAGTTAGAAACATCGATGAGAGAGAAACATCGATCAGCTGCCTCCTGCACACCCCCCACTGGGGATGTGCCCGCAACCAAGGCACATGACCGGAATCGAACCTGGGACCCTTCAGTCCGCGGGCCGACGCTCTATCCACTGAGCCAAACCGGTTAGGGCGTGCAATTGCCTTTAAAGAGCCTTCATTCAAAACCTATTTCAAACATCCAAGCAGATGTCATCATCAAGATGTCAATAATTCAGATAAAACTTTCTAGAAGATGAAGGAGGCATGAGAAGTCAATGGGAAGGAACAGACTTAGCCACCAAATGAGGTGGGGCAGTCAGTGGGCTATTGAGAGGAAACTGATTTATCTCTCAACCTTCACTAAGATAAAGGGATCTAAAATTTCACCCTCATTGATCCCCATAAGAAAGCTAATGCAAGCAACAATGCGCTACCATCTTGCCTTTCAAAGTAGAGAATACTTGTAAAAAGGATACTGCTCAAGCCTGGCAGAGGTCCAGAGAAGAGCCCGGCTCTCTTCTGCATTCCCAGTACACTTATCTGAATATTGGATATTGACTGGCAGTATTTAAGGTGCTGTAACATAGGTTCTTTTTAACATAATAACTCCATTTTTTTAATAATAATAAAAAAAGAAAACAAGGGAATTATCTTACATGCAGACCAAGATGCTTGCCTAAAGATAATCATCTAGTATTTGTGAAAGTGGAAAATTGGAAGCTGGGAAAGAGAATGCCCAGGCTTCCTAAACTTCACACTGAGCTGGCTCTATGTGGCTCCAAGTCTCAGACAGGCACGCTTGTTATGCACATGCACTGACCCTCTGTGTTGTGTTACATGCCACTGAGTTGGCTCTGACTCCTGGTGACCCCATGAATGAGTGATGTCCACAGTGTCCTGCCCTCAACAGCCCTGCTCAGCTCCTGTAGACTCAAGCCCATGGCTTCTTTTATGGAGTCAATCCATCTCATATTTGGTCTTCCTCTATTTCTGCTCACCCCAAATCACCCCTGCTATTATAGGTGGGAATGGAGGGCCAACGAGTCTCAGACTAAAATATCCATTCTCAATAGAGACACTATCTCCCTCAATAAAGTGAAAAGTGATTCTTAGAGGACAAAAAAAGATCTTAGATATTATAATGGTTTGTGGCCCTTCTGGGACCACAGTGCATAAAGAGATAGATAGTATATCTTTCTATTACAATTTCATGGGGGTAGGGCAACTATGGAAACAGATGTCCTAAGGCTCCTGGGGGTGGGGTAACTATTTAAAAAAGAAGGTCGAGAAACACTGGACTAGAAGATGTCCTGAGTACTATGGTTGTCCTTCCCTGGGCCCTCCCTCCCATTAGCAGTGGACCAACATTATCCCAACTCTCTATCACCCATGACGAGGTCCGACAGTTCATAAAGGCTTAGCATTTCAAGAGCATGAATCATGACACCTTAACTACCAGGCTTGGTCACTCAAGCTCCTGCCCACGGTATAACGGGCATTGCTGTCTCTCAATTGGGAGCCTTGTAGGGGAGTGGTCCATAGGACGTGGCAAAAGACCTGCTTCTCATTGCCAGGAAAATGGGATTGTCTTTGAACAGTCCACCTTCCAGGTAGGAGGAGAGGCCACGCACCTCTCCAAAACCTCCCCCCAAGGTGATGGGAGTAAAGCAGCATGCAATTGGTGCATTTCAAGGGTCCACATGGAACTCTGGTCAAATCATCAAGGAATGCTCACAGAGGGCGCCCTTGGCTGAGAACACCAAACCCAAAGCTGACCAGCAGACACACTGCTTCAAAACTTTCCTGGCGCTGGCTAACTGCTCTTTTATGACTCAATCCTTGGCCAGAGGGGAAGCGCTGGGGGCGAGGTGCTCAGGATCCCGTGGGCAGTGCCAACTGTAGTGCAGGAGAACAGGTGGCTTGGTGCAGACTTTCTGCTACTGGGAGAAGAGGTCTAGTTCACGGAGGATTTGCTTCTAGCTACTTAGCAGAGGACATCTGCAACATCAGATTATTTTATTGGTGGAAATATGATTCCACCGCTCCTTGTTAACTATCCTCGAGCAAAGGGAGATTCCTGCAGGAGAAATCATCAGGGTGGGGGCCCCATCTCTCTGCATCTCTCTCAGGACTTCCCCAGCTCTGACTCCTGAGGATGTGTGTACACAGCACATTTGCTGTAGACCTTCCAGAAGGGAGGGCTCCTCTTGCTACTGCCCAATTGGACAGCACAAGGTTCTATTCAGATTTCCTGTGAGGAAAAGCTCTCTTCAGCAGTTTGCAGTTTTAACAAACAGAACTGGAAACGCCCTATAAGCTATCGATCCTGGTCCCAGAATACCAGCCCCACAGCCCCATCCCCTCACTCCATCATCTCAGGAGCACGGAGACAAATGGAATCTCAGAGAGAGGTTTTTCACTAAGTCCCTTGTAGGAAAACCATTCCCAGGCCGAGGTAAGGTCTGGCAAGCCGGATAATGATCAAAATATCTATTTACTGAGCACTCATTCACAATGTGCTGGGCACCGTGTAAAGACATTTCTTTACACTAGTTCATTTAAGTCTTTCAGCAGCCCATTTTACAGATGAGAAAACTGAGGCACAGAGAGGTTCAGTAGCCTGCTGAAGCTCATGCAACAAGCAGAGCTGGGATTCCAAACCCAGCAGTCTGCTTGTGCTTTTGCTGCATCTCAGGAGGCTGGGTCATGCATGGGCCTGTCTGGAACCCTCTTCCCCCCTTCCCCAGCATTTCCTGGCAGGTGACTATAGGCAAAGTGAAATCTACATTGCTCTCTCTGATCTAGTTGTTGCGTCTCAGGTCAACCTCTAGAGGTCTTTCTTAATCATTTAAAAGACTAATAATAAAAGAAAGAGGAGATAGGTATTTTACAGACACTGAGTTCAGGGCTTTACATTTTATTATCTTGTTTGGTTTTATCCCAACACTACGAACAGGTTCTGCCCTTCCACATTTACCCATGAGAAAACTTAGGCAAAAAGAGGTTAAAAGCAACAAGATCAAGGCCACACAGCACATATCAGCTTGGAACCCTGATGTTAACCTCCACGTTGTACCGTCCCCGCTTCTGCACCAGGGACCCCAGCATAAGTCCTGGCATAGGTTCATAACTCTTTTCAAAGTGTGAGAGTCTAACATGGTTTCCTATCTGGGCATTTAGGAAGGAATTTAGTGGAAGATTGGGAGAGATGGCCTTCAAGGATTCTAATGCAAAAGATCATTGCCTGAAAGCCATTTATTTGTTCCCCAAA